TTTCAGTAGAGAATGGGGTTTCACCACGTTGGCCAGGATGGTCTTGAACTCGTGACCTCAGTGATGCGCCTGCTTTGGGCCTCCCCAAGTGCTGGGATTACAGGTGTGAGCCCACCATGCCCAGCCAGTATTTTTCTTAAGAGTACTAATCAACACCTGCATGTATTGTAATGTTTTTCTTTATTTCTTATTCCAAACCTAGACCTTAGAGCAGGTCTGACACCTAGTATATGGCTCAAAAAACACTGGTTGAATGAATAAATCTACCTCCTCCAGTCCGGTAAATCCTAATTGCTCTGTAGTTCCAGAATTTTGTACTCACCAAGCTTTGTATATCTTTGGAATCTTTGCTTATCCTATGCTAAGACAGCCTTTTCCCATCTTTTTCATCTCATTTCTACTCATCTTTCAAGACTCAATTCAGGGGTTACATCCTTCTGGATGCCCTGACTATCCTCCATCCTGTCCAGCATCCAGTACAGATTTTCACACTGGCGCTTAGTACCATGAAATTATGTTTTTGTATATGTTTTTTAGCTCACTGTCCTGTAAACTCCTTGAGGGCAAGGATTATGTTTTATTTAGCTTTATTCACAGCGCCTAGCATAGCAGTAGACACTGCCTACTAAACTGAATGAATCACACACACAAAATTCATCCCTTCTAATGGAAAAACAATTCATGACCTAAGAAGTCAATTAGTAAACAAAGGACAGCATAGTGTTTCTTTTTTTTCTTTTTTTTTTGAGACAGAGTCTCGCTGTGTCACCCAGGCTGGAGTGCAGTGGTGTGATCTTGGCTCACTGCAACCTCTGCCTCCCGGGTTCAAGCGATTTTCCTGCCTCAGCCTCCCGAGTAGCTGGGACTACAGGCACCCGCCAGCACGCCCAGTTAATTTTTTGTATTTTTACTAGAGACAGGGTTTCACCATGTCAACCAGGATGGTCTCGATCTCCTGACCTCGTGATCCGCCTGCCTCGGCCTCCCAAAGTGCTGGGATTACAGATGTGAGCCACCGCGCCCGGCCGAACAGCATAGTATTTCTTACAAAGCCTTTGGGCACCATAGCATATTGGCAATACGGATACAGATTTTAAAAAATTAAGATTGATAACTACTCTGAGATTAAAATCAGCCAGAGAAGACAAAACGATTCAATATAAGATATGCAGAATCATACATTAAATATTCTATAATAATAAAAATAGAAAACAGAGGTGGGGCAATAGCAATAGAGATTAGATTTGGATGGCTACAGACTAAGTGATGGGTACAACTATCAATATAAATCAAAACACTGGATGGGCAACTGTGACAAAAGCAGGATGCTGGCCAGGTGCCGTGGCTCACACCTGTAACCCCAGCACTTTGGCAGCCCTAAGCAGGAGGATCATTTGAGTTCAGGAGTTTGAGACAAGCCTGGGCAACAGAGTAAGACTAAACAATTTTTAAAAAATTAGCTGGTTTTGGTTGCACACACCTGTAGTCCCAGCTACTTGAGAGGCTAAAGTGCGAGGATTGTGTGAGCCCAGGAGGTTGACGCTTCAGTGAGCCATGATCACATTGTGCCATTGCACTCCAGCCTAGGGCGACAGAGCAAGACCCTGTCTCAAAAAAAAAAAAAAAAAAAAAAAGTAGGATGCCTTCTGATAAAGAATATGTCATTTATTCCTAGATCCTAGATTCTCCATTTATCCCTCCAACCAGACCCAGCTGTCTCATCACTACAACTCCTCAGTACTGGCTATTTGCAAAGCGGCTGTCCTTGGGTTAAGACCAGATAAAGACCTTCAACATCTTTCAACCCTCACAAAGGGGTACAGTTCTTACCCCGTGGCTCCCCACCCACAGCATCTCCTCGTGCAAGTCAAAGTGGGAGACGGAGACAGGTACACCCACTTCAGCCACCACGCTGTGCAATTCAGAGTAGACACCTTCCATTATGTGCACTGATTCCTGGACGGGAAGAGCCTCCAAGGCCACTCCCTCTGGGTCCAGCTCCACATTCTGTAGCAGACTTGGGTTCAGGTGGGCATCCAAGACAGGGTCCAGGGCAGAATGCATGGCTGGGGCATACTCTGCCAGTCCAGGGTCCAGACCCTCAAAGTTCATGATGACGATGGCAGCTCACACCTATGTCACACCCTCCCTTACCACAGTCCCTTTAGACGCCTGACCCAGCCTTCAGCAAGACAGCACCGGTGGGCCTAGAATGGACATCCTGGCCTGTAAGGGGAAAGAGGTAGCTGAGTCAAGGGTAGGTCCAGGTACTGGTACGTAGGGTCTTCTAAGTTATGGGGCAGGAGGGAGATGAGGCAGGCATGAGGGATGAGACTGCCAGCCAAAGGAGGAAGCAGGCAGGGGAGGGATGGGCAGTGGGGGTGGAGGTGGTAGAACTGTTGTCCCTATCTCTCCTCCGCTAGGCCCTCTGTACTCTCCACCACCCCAATATCTAACCTAATCCTTGACTTCCCTTTCTTCTCATTTCAGACTGCTCACTTGCCTGGTTCAGCCCTGAATCATCAGGTGAAGGGAGCGAGAACTGCAGGGGTTGGCGTTAGGTAGAGGGATCTAAGGTGCTTTCTCCCAGAATTGGGGGTGAGGAAGGATGGGTTGGACGGTGGGGAGAACGAGAAGTCACTTTCCCAGAATCCTCTCCAATAGCTACCCAGGATTCCCCAGAGGAAAACAATAATGGCCAGTTACCCACAATTGGGGCGGGGGCAGGGGAAGGTGGTGGAAACGGCTAGTTACCCAGAATTCTCTGGGGGAACCAGAGAAATCGGTTATCCAGAATTCTCCCACGGCGGCGGCGAGGAGGGGGATAGGGCAAGGGTCAGATGTGTTCCTGGGATGCTTACGGGGAATGGGTCATTACCAAGATTTCTCCATGGCGGATATTTTGGAGCGCGTGGAATTACAACGAGTAGGGGGAGCGCAAGCGCTGTCAGCTCCGCGGGAAATTCCAGTTTCCCCAGTCCTCCCCCACGCCTAGGGCCTCAACCTAACCACTACGGCGCCAAGGACCGGACTCCCAGGCGCGCCTTCCAATCAAGAAGGGCTCGGGGCACATTTAAGCCAATCAGAAGGGCTCCGGGCGCATCTAAGCCAATCAGAAGGAGCCAGGTACGGCGACTCCAGGAGAGAGCGTGTGACGCAAGCGCCGGAAAAAGAGGTTACGGGGCGCCGGTGGGACAAACGCAACCAGACGCCGGACTTGTTACGTGGCGTTAAAAAGTAACCCTTTTTAGTCTTCTTGAACAAAATTACGTCTAGAGTTGGAAACCAAACTTTTATGCTTTCTATAACTTTAGGAACTCTAAAATAAGGGGCACCCAAGGCAAAGCACTAGGAGTCGATGTTGGGTATTCCCGGCAGGACTTCGTCCACCTCCTCTCCCTGCGTTGCTCTTGTGAGCCACTCCGCCACCTCTGACCATATTGCCCCCGAAACTCGCTGGCATTTCCTATCATTTCTAGATATGGGAGAGAAAAAAAGGAACCAGGAGCCGGATTCCTGACCCAGTCCAAGTGGCTGCATCTTCTACAGGCAGCCATCTGAAACTCCCATCCGTGATTGTTCCCTCCCCAGAGACCCCGGTAACATTCCCGGGTAACAGGATGCCCCTGGTTATCAAATTCCCCTAGCTCTTGAGGCTGGCTGGACGTTATCCCTCAGAGGGGGATGAGCCTGGCAAATTGAGACTTTTGTTATTCTGAAGAATTCGTGGGTCCTGTGAACTCTAATTGCTTTGAAATGAGTCCGGGTTGTGAGATGTCTCAACTTTAGCTTAGCTGTTATTACTGTTTCTAAAGGTCACATAAAGGGACTCTGATGGGAGACATTCCTTATGGAGGATTCAATTCTATAACATTTCTCTCTCAATAAAGGCTGGTAAATAGACCTTCATTAAAGGACCCAATAATTTAAATTTCCAGGACTCAGAGGGATGGGGTCTTATACCCAGTCAGAGGTCCTAAAGCCTAGACCGAGAGAAAAAGACACATGGTCTCTCAAACTGATTTGATCTGACTTTGCAGGTCATTAGATGTAAAATCTCCGAAAAAGGTGGGTGCTGAGAGACCTAGACAGTTCCTACACTTTAAGAAATCTCCATCTTGAGGTCTCGAATTGAGAAAGACTTAACAGACCCATGAGAGTTACAGATCCCAATAACCTGGGCTAAATAATGTATGTCCGCCGGGCTCGGTAGCTCACGCCTGTAATCCCAGCACTGGGAGGCCGACGCGAGCGGATCACCTGAGGACAGGAGTTCGAGATCAGCCTGACCAAGGAGAAACCTTGTCTCCACTTAAAATACAAAATTAGCCGGGCCTGATGGCGGGAGCCTGTAATCCGAGTTACTTGGGAGGCTGAGGCAGGAGAATCGCTTGAACCTGGGAGGGGGAGGGTGCAGCAAGCCGAGATGGCACCATTGCACTCCAGCCTGGTCAGTAAGAGCGAAACTCCGTCTCGAAAAAAGAAAAGAAAAAAGGATACTGTGAGGAGACACAAGAGCATCCATGACATAGATTATTTAGCTCAGCTGTTACTACTCTTTCTAATACAGTAATATTAGATCGTGATTCGCCCGCCTCGGCCTCCCAAAGTTCTGGGACTACAAGTGTGAGCCACCGCGCCCAGCCTTTTTTTTTCTTTGAGATGGGGTCTCACTCTGTTGCCCATGCTTAAGTGCATTGGCCCTCTCGCTCACTGTAGCCTCAACCTTCTGGGCTCAAGCGATCCTCCCACTTCAGCCTCCCAAGTAGCTGTAATTACAGGCATGGGCCACCAAACCCAGATAATTTTTTTTTTTTTTTTCTGTAGAGGTAGGGTTTCGCCACATTGCCCAGGCTGGTCTTGAACTCTTAAGCTCAAGCGATCCTCCTGCCTCGGCCCCCTAAAATTCTGGCATTACAGGCATGACCATATGTGGTGTACAGTATCCAATGTAATGCAGTGATTAAAAACTAAGGATCCAGGCAGGGATGGTGGCTTGTGCCTGTAGTCCCAGCTACTCAGGAGGCTGAAATGGGGGGGATCACTTAGTGGTGGTGGTTGCAGTAAACGGAAATGCAACTGCATTCGGGCCTGGGTGACAGAGTGAGACCCTGTCTCAATAAAACCCCCCAAAAACCAAGAACAAAAAAGAATGCAGGATCTGACGCTAGATTGTCTGCATTAGAATTCTAGGCACTTAAGCCGGGTGTGGTGTCTCACTCCTGTAATCCCAGCACTTTTGGAGGCCGGAGGCAGGTGGATCACCTGAGGTTGGGAGTTCGAGACCAGTCTGACCAACATGGAGAAAGCTCATCTCTACTGAAAATATAAAATTAGCCACCCCTAATTAGCACCCATGGCACATTCCTGTAATCCCAGCTACTTGGGAGGCTGAGGCAGGAGAATCGCCTGAACTTGGGAGGCAGAGGTTGAGGTGAGCGAAGATGGCGCCATTACACTCCAGCCTGGGAGACAGAGCAAGATTCTGTCTCCGGGAAAAAAAAAAAAAAAAGGAGTTCTAGCCACTTAGAAGCTCTGTGAACTTGGGCAAATTGCTTATCTCTGCACCTCAGCCTCCTCATCTGTAATATAGGGTAATAATAGTATCTACCTTAAAGAGTTGCTGTGAAAATTAAATAGTTTAGTACATGTAAAGTGCTTAGACAAAGTACTTGGCATTAAGCGAGAGTTGGATATATATTAGCCATCATTATTAACCACCTGGGGGAACTTCAGCTGATTTGGAGTCTAGGCATACAACTGGAAAGGCCTGCCTAGGAGTGTCTTGTGAATGTGATTTGCATAACGGTCTAGGCCCAGCTGACGTCAAGGGCTCCTTATAGCTCCAGGTCAGTTGTAGCCCTGGATGTAGTTCCTGCCACTCAACAGTCCCACAATCTCCCCACCAACCCTGCTTCCTACCCAACTACTGCAGCACCAGGAAGTGAAACAAAGAGGCAGAGCCCTGTGCCTCCAACTCACCCTTGTCCCTCTCATCCCATCCCCCAGGCTCTACTTCCTCCTCCTTTTCATCTTTCTTTCATCTCTTATCTTTTAGGGCTCCCAGAATGGGGACCAGAGATGGGAAGAGCAAAGGAGACGTTGTACACAAGTAAGGTGAACTCCCTATCCTGCGCCCTCCCATTTCCTTATTCCATTTGTGTCCATCTTATTAGGGAGAAAGGCAAATCAGTTCTCACCCAAACTCAGATAATTCTCTGATGCCGGAAATGTTTAATCTAAAGGGGTAGGTTTTTTTTTGTTTTGTTTTGTTTTTTAAGACAGAGTCTTGCTCTGTCACTCAGGCTGGAGTGCAGTGGTGTGATCTTGGCTCACTGCAACCTCTGCCTCCCAGGTTCAAGCGATTCTTTTGCCTCAGCCTCCCGAGTAGCTGGGACTACAGGTGCCTACCACTACGCCGGCTCTTTTTGTATTTTTAGTAGAGACAGGGTTTCACCATGATGGCCAGGGTGGTCTCGAACTCCTAACCTCATGATCCACCTGCCTCAGCCTCCCAAAGTACTGGGATTATAGGCTTGAGCCACCGTGCCTGGCCCTTGGTAGGTTTAACTTAGAATCACAATATTTTTTTTTTCTTCTCTCAGCTCATACCTACAGAATCATAATATTTGAACTAGAAGTGTCACTGGGCAGTTTTGAATAGTTCTAAGGGAAGGGAGACCTCCATTCAGGACAAATTTCTCAGAAGGGTCAACCTCTTGGGAGAGGTGATGGGAGCCAGCTGTGTGGTCACTGATGGCCTCATTCTGACGTCTTCGAAATTGTTCTGGGACCCACTAGGGTCGGGGCAGTCCCGGCTTTGGACCACCTTCCACTCCCACGCCCAACCTCACACTCTTAGCTGTTTCACTTGATGTTGCATCATGGAGGGTGATGAAATCGGTGTCAGTGGATTTTACCCATGGATGCAACAAGCTGAAGGACCAGCCAGAGTCATTGACACTGCACCTTCAACTACCCAGAACTCCTGGGCTTCCTAGCCATGGGGTCCAAAGCCGGGACTGCCCCAACCCCAGTGGAGGGTCCCAGAACAATTTGGATGACATCAGAATGAGGCCATGGGGCTAAGTGCTGGAATGTCTAAGTTGAACTTCCAGGCCTTATTTACACTAGTCCGGAAAAAAACATCATCCAACTCTTATAGAGCCTATGAAATCTTGGGCCACTAGGGTTGAAGAATCAGGTGGTTCTTAGTCAATAAACCCCTTCCCACAAGAGCCTTTCTAACCTCCACTGTGAGGCCTGAAATGGGGAGCAATAAGACCTCATACTGGCTTCCCAGTTCTCCAAGTTCCTTCATGCCCATTCTCTCCTATGAAACCAGGACCATCCAGTTGAAAATAATGCTGTTTCCAACTGAGAAAAAGAAGCCTGTTTATTCCTAATAGAGGGCATCAGGTAGGAATCAAACTTCATTGCAAACAGCTCACCATCCTATTGGGAGATGAATGAATGTTTCTTTGTTTTGTTTTTTCCTCAAGCAGGAGGAAGTGAGGAAATTAGGTTTGGGGTGGGGTAGGGGTATAGCTTTGAGAGGCAAAAAGATCAGGGAAAGGTCAAACAGGAAGGAACTTGAGACCAGATTGATTTAAATATTTGTTCTCCCTTCCCCCCTCCAGCCCCATCCCTGCTGTGCACTCCCCACCGCCCCCCATCCCCGCCCCTTCTACAGCCATTTCAATTCCTGGAGAGCATTACACATGTGTCCCATCCCAGGCCTCTAGCCACAGCAACCACACGACTCATTTCCCCTGGAACTGAAGCTGCATACCTGGGCTCCCCACAGAGGGGGATGATGCAGGGAGGGGAATCCCACCTGCTGTGAGTCACCTGCTGGTATAAAGGGCGGGCCTTACAATGCAAGGACCTTAAAAGACTCAGAGACAAAGGGAGAAAAACAACAGGAAGCAGCTTACAAAGTCGGTGAACAACTGAGGGAACCAAATCAGAGACGCACTGAACAGAATCAGGCTCAAAGCAAGTGGAAGTGGGCAGAGATTCCACAAGGACTGGTGCAAGGCACAGAGCCAGCCAGATTTGAGAAGGCAAAAAAGATGCTGGGGAGCAGAGCTGTAATGCTGCTGTTGCTGCTGTCCTGGACAGCTCAGGGCAGGGCTGTGCCTGGGGGCAGCAGCCCTGCCTGGGCTCAGTGCCAGCAGCTTTCACAGAAGCTCTGCACACTGGCCTGGAGTGCACATCCACTAGTGGGACACATGGTGAGTGGCAGCCCCTGGAGCCTAACAGGAGTCTCTCCAAGTTCTCCAAGGCTGTGGTAGAAGACTGTGGCCTTGAGTGGAAACTGGAGGGTTGAAAGCCATCAGGGAGTAAGAGAGGGCAAGAGAGTAGGGTTCCTGGGAGAGTCATGGGCCTGAGGGTCAGGTTGGCTTCAAAAGTACTTATCTTACTTCTTCATTCTTTCCACCCCTTCCTCCATTCCAGGATCTAAGAGAAGAGGGAGATGAAGAGACTACAAATGATGTTCCCCATATCCAGTGTGGAGATGGCTGTGACCCCCAAGGACTCAGGGACAACAGTCAGGTACCACTGGGATGTGGCTGGGCAATGCAGGAGAGGGGACTGAGAACATGGCTGGGTACCATGGTAAACCAGAAGTTGTGTCTGAAAATAGTAAGAAACTGGGTGAGTCTTCAGTGAATGGAGTAGGAAGAGGATGTCCTCTTTCATTGCTTTCTTCTCTCCCTAGTTCTGCTTGCAAAGGATTCGCCAGGGTCTGATTTTTTACGAGAAGCTACTGGGATCGGATATTTTCACAGGGGAGCCTTCTCTGCTCCCTGATAGCCCTGTGGGCCAGCTTCATGCCTCCCTACTGGGCCTCAGCCAACTCCTGCAGGTATTAAGTAGGGGCCTGGAGGATGGGGGCTTGCAGGTGTCAGAGACAGAGGATTGGGGGTTAAGGGTCTAGAGTCTTCTCTGACTGTGTCTTATGCCCTTTCAGCCTGAGGGTCACCACTGGGAGACTCAGCAGATTCCAAGCCCCAGTCCCAGCCAGCCATGGCAGCGCCTCCTTCTCCGCTTCAAAATCCTTCGCAGCCTCCAGGCCTTTGTGGCTGTAGCTGCCCGGGTCTTTGCCCATGGAGCAGCAACCCTGAGCCCCTAAAGCCAGCAGCTCAAGGATGGCACTCAGATCTCCATGGCCCAGCAAGGCCAAGATAAATCTACCACCCCAGGTACCTGTGAGCCAACAGGTTAATTAGTCCATTAATATTAATGGGACCTGCATATGTTGAAAATTACCAATACTGACTGACTTGTGATGCTGACTTATAAGGTTGAGTATTTATTAGATGGGAAGGGAAATTTGGGGATTATTTATCTTCCTGGGGGCAGTTTGGGGAGGATTATTTATTGTATTTATATTGAATTATGTACCTTTTTCAATAAACACTTATTTTTGTGGCTATATGAGTCTAATTTCTAGGCTCAATTGGGAAAGAGAAATTGATGGAAAAATAAGGCCAAGGGATTACAGTATGCATCCCTTTCTTCTATTCTGAAGGGCTATGATGGAGAGAGATATTTTCTCATGACCCCCTGGTGTATAGAATAACTGGGATCTCTTTAGTATTAATTCCTATATGGCTGAGCAAGCAGAATGGGATTACCAGATTAGGAAGTGGGGTTATACCTAAGGGTCACTTGCTCCCTGATCCAGTGTCTCCTTCCCTGCTTTCTTGGCCAAGGGTGTATCTGGCCAAAGATAGGGGTCCTGAGCACTGCAGGATCAAAAGTCAGAGTTCAGTTTTGAGCAGGAAGGGCATTCCAGGAAATGAAGGTAAATATCCCGGAACAATGGGACTCTCACCTCAAAGGACATTTGGAGTCCCTTTGTTTCTTTTTTTTGAGATGGAGTCTCATTCTGTCTCCCAGGCTGGAGTGCAGTGGCGTGATCTCGGCTCACTACAACCTCCGCCTCCCAGGTTCAAGTGATTCTCTTGCCTCAGCCTCCCGAGTAGCTGGGATTATAGGCACATACCACCACGCCTGGCTAATTTTTGTATTTTTAGTAGAGACAGGGTTTCATCATGTTGGTCAGACTGGTCTTGAACTCGTGACCTCAGGTGATCCACCCACCTCAGCCTCCCAAAGTGCTGGGATTACAGGCATGAGCCACCACGCCCAGCCTTGGAGTCCCTTTGGAAGTTTGGTAACTCAAGGGTAGCTGAAATTCTTTGAAAAAAGAAAAGACGAAGGGAAGTGGCTAGTGATTATTTCCTTTCCTTTTTTTCCATAGTCACAGCATCAAAAATTGTGGGCTTTGAAGTCAGACAAATCCAGACAGGTTCCTGTCTTGGCTTTGCCAACAATCAGCTGAGTGACAATGAAACAGTTATATAACTACTCATCCCTCCCCCCACAATGCATATATACCTCCCAGCACCCCTAGAAGAGTCTAAGGGACAGGAGGGGCTACTCCAAACAGAAAGGGAAGAAGAAATATGACAAGAGAAACATAAAGGGGTGGATGGAAGAGAGGTCACAATTTTCTGACTTTATTCCTGTGCAGCTTGTTGGTATCCCTTTGTGAGCAGAGAAATAAAAGAGGTTCAGAGATGAGACATTTCCAGATCAGCACAAAGTTTATTAGCCATTGCTGCTCAGAAGAGCCCCCTTCTGAACAGGACTGTTCCTCTGACGTAACAGACAAGAAACAGCCACCTGTGCAGGGCCTTTCATTTATATCTCAAGCTACATCAGGAGGACATCTTAGAGCAATGTCAGTTGCCCCCTGGGGTTCCCTGGGAATAGCTAAGATGTGAGATTGTCCAGAGTCCTATGACAGACCTTCAGGGTTTTAAGTTCCACAGACTAGGTCTTTGTCCAGGTCCACAACCAAGGAATAGAAACCTTCCTTTCAGGTAAACAACATATTGCACAAAAAAGGGGGGGATTATAACATAATAGAGAAAGAGCTAAGACCCATTGCTTCTCCTCTGTAAAAACACCAAACTTTATCCAATACTATAAAAAGAAATTCCTACCAGGCATGGTGGCTCACGCCTGTAATCCCAGCACTTTGGGAGGCCAAAGAAGGCAGTTCATGAGGGCAAGAGTTCGAGACCAGCCTGACCAACATGGAGAAACCCCATCTCTACTAAAAATACAAAATTAGCTGGGCATGGTGGTACAGATCTGTAATCCCAGCTAATTGGGAGGCTGAGGCAGGAGAGTCACTTGAACCCGGGAGTCGGAGGTTGCAGTAAGCCAAGATCACGCCATTGTACTCTAGCCTGGACAACGAGAGAAACTCCATCTCAAAAAAAAAAAAAAATTCCTGGCCGAGCGCAGTGGCTCATGCCTATAATCCCAGCACTTTGGGAGGCCAAGGCGTGAAGATCACTTGAGCCCAGGAGTTTAAGACCAGCCTGGGCAACGTAGCAAGACCCTGTCTCTAAAAAAAGAAAAAAAAAAATAGGGCATGGTGGTGCATGCCATGGTCCCAGCTACCCAGGAGGCTGAGGTAGGAGGATTGCTTGAACCCAGGAGGTTGAGGCTGCGGTGAGCTGTGACTGCACCACTGCACTCTAGCCTAGGCAACAGAGTGAGACCCTGTTTCAAAAAAAAAAAAGCAATTCCTAAATTCCCAGCAATCCTACTATCCCTAGCCTCCAGGAGTGATCTGTCTGCTAAGCATTGAGAAAGTAGAGACTAGGTGGCATAAGCTAGTGTGCAAAGCTTCACAGGCACATTAGATTGGCAGGATCATTTTATGGGAGAGAAACGGGTGCAGCCAGCTTAGGGGCAGAGTAGGGGAAGAGACTGGTAGGAAAAAGAGGTCTACTTCTATCCATCCCCTTCTTCAGGGTGGAGTTTCACATGGTAGGCTAAGGCAGAAAGCTCTCAACCCCTGCAGGAAAAGAAGAAATTCAGGGATTGAGTCAGGAGTGAAGGAAAGAAGAAAGGAAGTTATCCTAGACATGAAGGAATGGAAGAAAGAAATGGAGTCCTATCCTGTCTGTGCTCCCCACCAAGGGCCAATGCCAGTGTGCACCAGTTTAGCCTAACCAGCTATTAAAATGTTGAAGTCCTTCCATACTGAAAAGAAGCCACTGTCCTGAGCCCTCCAAGTACCTGTCAACTGCCCTGGCCTGCCTCCAGGACCCCTATACCTCCCAGCACAGCAGGCAGCCTTCAGGAGCCTATTTAGACCTATGGCTTAGCATCTGTTCTGATTCATTGTTGTCCCTTCTGTGCCCATGTTATGCTTTCACCTCTCACTCCATTGGAGTCACACAGGCCTGAGTTTGAACAGTTAACATAGCTTGGAAGGGACACATGCCTGATTCCCATCCTTGGAGAACAACATCATGCTATGAGGAGTAGGAAGGGCAAGAGATATGAAAAGAACAAAGGAAATGTGGTTCCTAGAAGTCAGAAGGCATCAAAGGTCCATCAGTGTAGAAGTGGCTGGGGCGGGAGACGTAAGCCTCATCCACGGTGTTCTGGCCAGCCAACAGTGGGTCACCATTCGGCATGATTTCTTCAATCTTTACACAGTTTCTGAAGACTAGGTAACCCAGAGAGAAAAGTGAGGCCCTGATCTTAGTTAGGAGTTCCCAACCCAGCAAGGAAAGGGAGGGAGGATGGCAGGAAAGGCCTGGGAAGAGCCTGAGGGGGAACTTGTGAGATCAAAGAGCAGGGAGGTGGGGGAAGGCATGTGTAATTCCAAAAAAAAAAAAAAGGAATCACAGAATGGACCTCTCTCCAATGACGAGCTTGGAGCTCAGTTTTTTCTGTAATGGGAGAGGGAGAAGGGGTAGGAAAGGGAATGTGTGCCGTCTTCCATAGCTCTATTTGATCACTTACTTTCCATTGGCTCAGTGTTCAAATGTCTCAGATCACAGGGCAAATCTGGCTCTGGCACTGGCTGTGACACAGGTCCTCGGTCTGGCTCTGGCACTGTTTGTGATGCCATGCATAGTGTGGGCTCCATTACAGGCTCCAGAGTGGACTCCAGCACAGACTCTAGCTCTGGCCCCAGATCCAGCCCTGCCTTCAGCAGTGGCTCTAAGTCGAGGCTGAGCTCTGGCTCTGGCGCCAGCCCTAGTTCCAGCTCTAACGACTCCAGCTCTGGCTCTAGCTTAAGCTCCAGCGGTTGTTGTAGTTCATCCACCTGTCTGGATACCCAAAGACAGACAAAGGGGCAGGGCTCAGTAGTTTAAATGAAAGAAGGAATGGTAGAACAAGAAGCAGCTAGTCTAAGAAGGCAGAAGAGCAGAGGGCTAAAGATCATGGAGTTCGGAATCAGGCCTCCTGGAGTTTGAATCCTGGCATTTACTAGCTGGGGGACCTTAGGCAAGTGTCCTAACTTTTCTGAGCCTCAGATTTATCATCTGTAAATGAGAACAATACCTAGTAATTCTTGAGAGGCAGTAGGGTGGTTGAAAGCAGGGCTATGGAATCTAACAGACCTGTATCATTTATTAGCCATGTACCTTAGGTACAAAACTTGACTACTCTAAATCCAGTTCCTCAGCTGAAAACAGTAACAGTGTTTACTTCAAAGGACTATTTTGTAGATTCAATAAAATGAGAAAAATAAACATAAACCATTTAGCCTAGTGCCTGGCACAAAATAAACTTTCAGGCCAGGCACGGTGGCTCACACCTGTAATCTAAGCACTTTGGGAGGCTGACGCGAGCAGATCACTTGAGGCCAGAAGCTCAAGACCAGCCTGGCCAATTTGGTGAAACCCCGTCTCTACTAAAAATACAAAAGTTAGGCCAGGTACAGTGGCTGACGCCTGTAATCCCAGCACTTTGGGAGGCCAAAGTGGGCGGATCACGAGTTCAGGAGTTTGAGAGCAGCCTGGCCAATATGGTGAAACCCTGTCTCTACTAAAAATACAAAAATCAGCCAGGCGTGGTGGTGGTGCGTGCCTGTAGTCCCAGCTACTTGGGAGGCTAAGGCACGAGAATCACTTGAACCTGGGAGGCGGAAGTTGCAGTGAGCTGAGATCGTGCCACTGCACTCCAGCCTGGGCAACAGGGCGAGACTCTGTCTCAAAAAAAATAAAAATTAACCAGGCATGGGTGGCGCTCGCCTGTAATCCCAGCTACTCAGGAGGCTGAGGCAGGAGAATTGCTTGAGCCTGGGAGGCGGAGGTTGCAATGAGCTGAGACTGCGCCATTGCACTCCAGCCTGGGCAATGAGAGCGAGACTCTGTCTCAAAAAAAAAAAAAAAACTATCCCCAGCCAAGTACCAGGGCTCATTCCTATAATCCCAGCACTTTGGGAGGCCAAGGCAGGACACTGCTTGAGGCCAGGAGTTCAAGACTAGCCTGGGCAACATAGTGATACCCTATCCCTACAAAAAATTGTAAAAATTAGCTGAGTGTGGTGGCGTGTGCTTGTAGTCTCAGCTACTTGGGAGGCTGAGGCAGGAGCATCACTTCAACCCC